TGTCTGTGGTGAAGCAACGGAAAATCATGGCCGTATGGTTTTCCTGGATGTAAAGCTGATTAATTATGTTGTTATTTTCAATTCTTGCCAATTAATGTAAATGTGTGATGTGTTAAACTTGATTCTGTTAATAAATGACCCACTGTCGTGGTGAGTCAAAGATAATTAACGTCTCACGTCCACATTTTATTAGATTCAATGCACGTACGTTAAACGGTCCAGAAAAATGAAAGAATCCGTTTTAACAGTATGAATATATGACAGATATGTTCTACTACATCTGGTGGCCCGTATAAATTCATAAATGGACTGTTATATTCGTGTAACAATGAATATCATGTTGGCATAAGAAAAATTGCAGATTCTGCTGTGAAAAGTGCAGATTGTAGCTGTGTTGAAATGCAGCTCAGCTGCGGCGCTTGGAGAAAACACTGCATGTTTAAGCTGTGATGCTTTGAAGCTGATATTGTGAGTCATTGAGTCTTTATGAAAGCTGAAATTGTACATCTGTTGTGTGTAACTAAGCTGATGAGCTGTGGAAAACGTTTATTCTGTTTAAAAGGACGGAGTTTCTGCTGCAGACCCGGTTTTGGTCCGGTTTCGGTTCTGAGAAGTTCGAACGAGTTTGTTTTAAATGGTTTAAAAGACGTTTTGCCACGGAGCGCCGACTCCGTTAAAGCTCAGAGTTGATTCGTTACATTTTTAACAGAAAATAGTACATTTTGACAGTTTAAAAGACGAAAAGTTGACGGACTTGTTCAGGCTAAATGCTACAGATAGCTGAAATGGCGATCTGTGATTGGTTGAAAACTGCCGTGTAACGCTTTCATTGGCTGAGAGACGTGTCAGTCGTGACTAACTCTGACGTGTCAGGTCGTAAAGCCCACCCCTGTGCTGCTCTGTCATTGGTAGATTCAGTCACGTGACCCGGAAATGAAAACTCGTCTTCTTAGGGAATTAAAATCTGCTTTTTAAAGTTGGAAAACGCTTTAAAGTTGATTCTGATACGCTGCTCTGTGTCTTTGAAGCTCTAATCGCTGAAATTTTGCCACGTTTGAGTTTAAAATCCGTCATTAAATGATGTTTTTGAACAACGCTAGCGATGCTAATTTTAAGCTAACAGCTAACGACCTGATGAGTGACGTGTCACGTCACTTCCTCCATGTCAGATGGTAAAGCTTGGTTGCACCGAAGCCTTCGCTGTGCTTAAAATCACTAGTTAAAACTTGCCACATGTCCCCAAAAAACTCATGTTCATGCAAAAAAGTTGTGCTTGTTGAAAAAACGCCACGTTTAAGCTTTAAATCCGTTCAGAAATGTTGATTTTAACCGAGTTTAGCCGAAGCTAATTTTAAGCTAAGCGGCTAACAACAGGATGTCAACAGAACGTCGACAGGACGTCGTCATAGACTCCTGCTGGTAGAAAGCTAAACACTGCCCCCTCCTGTGGAAACTTGATATCACAGTTTCACTTCATCTTTAGGTTTTTGAGTGAAATTAAAGGTATTTATTTCTGTAAGACGAACTTTGAGTTAACAAACGTTCCTCGAGCTGATTTATACTGTTATGTTATCTTACCATTAAAAGTCAGTAAAGTATTTATGCCCAGAGAGGCGTTTACTAGGACATTTTTCATTCATTGATAAATCCTCAAGCAGGTGCAAAATGAAAAAATGAGAACTTTTTGGTAGACACAGTCACAGATAATCACAGAGCTGATCAGTTTACTCATTTGCTGGAAAGATAATACACGTTTAATTGCTAAATCACTAAATAAGAGTAAACTTATCAGGAAAAAGAAACTTTTCTGTTTAAGTTACCACCTAAAAAATTACATCTTCTTATTTAATTTTTAAATAGAAGATATTGCCAGGAGGACAGGAGTATAACAGTTTTTCTGAAGAAAGACTGATTAATCCTGACACATCATCAATTTTTCTTTTTCTGTTCACCACCTAGTTCTATGAGTAACTGTTAAAGTAGCGAATTCTGAAATAGAACGGTTTAAAAAGCGTTTTTAAACTGATGTTTGCTGTAAGACTTTTAGAAAAATTGCAGGTTTATAAAAATTCAGTGCTTTAGAGTAAGAAACACTGAGGAGCTTGGTAATCTAGTATCTGTTAAGAAATAAGCACATAAAAAGTAACACTGCATAGAAGCATTTACTTAAATATTCATGAATTGGGGTAAAGCCTACGAGACAGGTGCCTATTCCTCTGAATAAGTTGACTTATAACAGTACTTTTGTGTAAACCCAGAGCTAAAATAGTGTGAAACTCAATGACATTTGAATACATATATTTACCTGTAAAATATCTGAAGCTGGCAACTGTTTCACCAGATAAAGTGCTACACAGTGAAAAACATGACAGGTGTGTTAGAAAAAGATTTTGATCCTTATGAGATGAAGGGCTGTTTAGAGAATGCGTTAGCACTGCTGACAGCATCCTTACATCCATATGGCAAACAGGCGGACAGCATGAACCCAAAAGAGTTATTGGACAATCTGATGGAGGTTGCAGAGAGTGTGACCTCTACAGAAATTACAATGTCAAGCTATGAAAAGCTGGCTAAAATGGCAATGTTGCTGAAAGAATCTTACTTTGCATTAAGACGGGATCACGTCGTGACAGTGTCACAAGTTTCCCGCTGCGAAACTGAGATAGATGTGCTTAAAAAAGACCTGCACAAACGCGAAGTGGATAAAGAGGTATTTTTGGAAGAAGTTATGCGTTTACAAAGTGAATGTCAAACATCACAGGAACGTTTAAAAAAAATGTGAGGAGAAACTAAGAGCAGCAACAAATAAAAGTTCTGACGTGGGGCGAGTTTGTCTGGATCTCAGAGAAGACCGTGGACAGAGTCCAGGTCACCCACAACCACCTCAGAAAGACGTTGTTGCACCTCCTGCTCGTAATCCACCCTCACCTAAAGTGGTAGGAACAGACCTGAACAGGTCTCCTCCACCAAACATGCAATGGAGTGCATGGAAACTTCCTCTTCCAATATATGCTCTGCTAAAACTCTCAAAATATGTACAACGCTTTGTACCTGGACTGATGGGTTCAACTGGAACAAAAGCGTACCTGAAAGACATTGAATTCAGATTGAATGGTTATCCTAATGCTACGGTTTTGGATAAAATCCATCTGATAAGACTCACTTCGGACAGAGAGGTGTTCACCTTCATCGAGCGTCTACCTGATGCAACGAGAAGGGATTACAACCTTCTGTGTGAAGCTTTGATCAGAGAGTATGACCCCTGCACGAGACCTGCTGGTTTCCCAGCCGCTGAAAAGGTCACGCAGGGCAAGCATGCTGAAACGGGAATCCAACCGGGAGCACAAGGTAGTGAGGTGATCGCTACTAAATCTGAAGGCGCGAATGACAACATTACAGATGTCGGTGGAACACACCAAGACATTGCTGTCGTTGCCTCCAACAACCCCTCATCGGACGAAGGGGGGTAAACTCACACACAAACGATGATGAGTCATCGCAAACTGAAAACTCAGAACCTGACTTTCATGATTTTGAACTAGGCATTCAAGTTCTGGGAGGACTCCCAGATAACCTGGTACCGAGTCAAGAAGCTGGGCCAGTATGTTTCACGAAACCATCACAGGCCATCGCTCTTTTCTCAACCGATGACGTCGACCAAGGACCTCAAACCTATGGTGTCTTACCCATAGACAGGTCCGACGACTCAGAAAAGGATTCGTTGGAGCTCCCCAAGGAGCAAGAACCCTCATCAGTCTCATCACAGATTGAACAGGTGGTCGCTCAAGCCGACACTCTGACATCTTATGAAGAAAGGGACAAACTTCGCCAAGTTCTTTTAAAATATGAAAAGTCATTTTCAACTGACGCAGACATCATCCAACTTCAGAAGTTGAATGATCCTGCAATTAACTCGATGATACTGTATCTGACTGACCCAGACAAATACACTCCATCGAAAGTCGAACTGGATTCCGATCCAGACCTAAAAGTCCTCTTTCAGCTGCGCAAACAGTTAAAACTACTCAAGGACAGCCTAACTTTAGCTCATGGAGCGACGTCCTCAACCGTGTTCGCGGTCTCCCATGACCGAAGGGGGGTGACGCCAGTTAGGATAATGCTACCAGACGCGATAACGTGAGCAAATCTGACATTCAGAGTGAGTGGCGCACCGAAACGTCGTTTTCTAGTTGCTTAATCACTGCTTTTGTCAATGTTGAAACGTTGTTTTACTGGTTGCTTAGTCACTGTTTTTGTCGATGTTGAGACATCGTTTAATTGGTTTTTGGTATTGTTTCTGAACACCCCAAGCAAGAATGAATTTGGTTGTGTAGTTAAGTTAGAGACTAAGAGGCCTTTAACCATGCCAACATGCAGTTCATTCGTTAAATTGCAATCTTTGTGGAGTCAATGTATATTATTGCTACCTTAAGTACCATAATCTACATTGGTCTCACAACGCGTAAGCCGAACCTACTCGAACAATTCTATTCGGGGGGATAGCTAATTCTTTTTGATGAGTCTCGCCATAGACTTCCAAAACATTTATGGGAAACCAAACACCCAATCTCAAGTCGTTCGTCTAAAAGACAACAGACAATTGAACCAAACTATATTTTGCCATGTAAAGCTAACTTAAACCAAGTTAGAAATGGAAAAATAGTTTGGAACCCTTTTCTATAGGTATAAACCCCTATAGTTACCCTTTTCAGCATGTTCCACCCCTTAACTGGTAGTTGTAGCTGT